GTCGTAACTCCTCGCGAAATTAGCAGTATAAAAACTCATTTTATTTTCCACATATTTACTTTTCACTTAAGCAAATTCATTAAAACCAACTTACTACCGAGTACATTTTTCAGCAGGGCCAAGTATTGTGTATTTTGTTAAACCTTGTGATAGAGTAACTCTCAGATTCCAGACAATTATTTTTGCCCTAACACTCCACGATTTTCTTATCATTTTATGTTTTTGTAAGACACTCTTGCTAATGGCTTTCAAATAGTTACTTATTTGGCCTGACACTTTGACAGCTAATGATGAAATGACAACCGGAAGCATTAAAGATAATAAACAGCCGAATAAGATACTGTACTTTACAATTTTAATAAATAAATAAAGAGATTGGCATTAACAAAATGTGTCATCAAATTACGACACTTGAGCGGCCACCAAAATTTTTCGCCAAACAGTCAAGTTTACGTTTGAGACCCTGAGCTCAGAGTCCGGGTCTTGTCAGTAAAAAAAAATACAGAAGTGTGAGGAAATTGCAGGACATGTACGTGACTCAAGTTGAGTGTTAAGCCACAGGAGCGGTCGAGAAGTATACTGAAAACAGCAGGATGTCTGCATGTCCTCCGACAGAGATGTCAGAATTCTTGGACATTTCTATTTATTTAAAAATATTTTTTGGGTGCGCAGGATATTAATTTTTATTGAATGTGTTATTTAAGAGATATATTTTTTCAATTGCTTAATAAAATGTAAATATTTAGCTAACTTCTGTGTCCTGCAGCTGGCATCTCCGTATCCCGCCTTTTCACCCTCCTTCGAGTGGTTGTTTTCTCCTCCTCCGATTGTTTGCTCTTCGCGGAGTTCTCAGCTGATGACGGCTCCTGCCCGCCTGCTTTGCTGGGTGTTGAGTGTGGTCCTTAGCGATGAGACGCGATACAGGCGATGTCAGACGCTGGTCAGAAATGTCTCTCACCTGGTAACAGGCCAGACATTACGGGCAAACCAAAAATGCGGGGGATAATGCGGCTGCGAGTTGTTTTCGCAAAACGAAGATAAATGCTTTAATGCAAAGCTTAAACGATGTTGTCACATCGAATGACAAGTGCATTTAAAGCAAAGCCTGGAAAACACAATAAATAATTAAATGATAAACAAGAAAAAATGAAATCTTACAACATAAAATGGAAGATTAAACAGTATTTTTGAATATTTAAAAAGTAGAAATACATTTTATGTAAAAATCGCAGAGTGGTTTACTTAACTATTAATACCATAATCTGCTTTGCTTTCCATTCAAAACAATCCTACTAAATTTCTCACTAACTCTGCGACATTTCCCACACAAAAAACAAAACTATCCCCAACTTTTTAATGCCTCCCTATGGCACTTCCTCCCCTAATGTTCCCTCTGAACAGTTTATAGATAATTCCTGTTTAGTATCCCACGCGTTCTAATTGCCTCTTCCCTTAGGTGTCGTTGAAGGAACATAAATTAGTGACAAATTCATTGATATCGACACATATCGAGTGTCAGGGAGTGTCCGCGCAGGTCCTTTGATGACTAATGAAGCGCTGACAAATGAAACGAATGTCACAACAGTGCGACAAACGAAGCGAACTCTACTGAAATTGTTGCGACATAAAAATGCACTAAAAAAAGAGCGAGGAAAAGAAGTGGCAGATGTTGACGAAAGACAAAGCATTGATCATTGGGCTTGCGTTTGGTATTGTTTTGGGGTTCTTGATCCCAGACCCTGTAATTATATTTAAAGCCGCAACCGCACAAAAAGATGCTGGTCTGGGCAGCCAATAATGTCATCATCATTACAAACCCGGACATGTTTCCCATATGGATGAGCGGGATTAAGCACTTTCGGATAAAGTCAAAACAATAAAAATTAAAAAGAGCAAGAGCGTGTGCGCATGCGTGGCCTCTGTCATTTTACAGTCCCCATTCCCACAGAAAGGTCAACTGATCCAAACGAAATTGAACCTTTTATGAGGGCGAGGGCGTCTCACTTTTGCCTGCCCATATGCTCATCTTTGTTTTTCAAAAACATCCAGGGGAATAACTCATAAAGTAAACATGTGCCGGCAATGTGTGGCCAAATGTTGGGACAGTAGAAAGGAAATAAGGAGCTGGGGATTATATCTCGAGATCCCCGGGACACGAGGCAACTTGAGAACAGAACCTTTTAATTGGCGCGAGGTGAGATGCGGTTCACTTCAAATCCGATACAATCCAATCAATTCTTATCGAACACGCGATGCAATCAGGAGTGAAAAGCAATTATATTCCGTTGCCGCTTCTCGTCTCACTTTATGGAATTTTAATGAGTGAAATAATGCCAAAGGAACGCAAAAAGTATCGGCTAAGAGTCAACAAGAGTGGCAAAAAAACTGGATGAGAGTGGTATGAAACCCCCGTCAGTGTTAACATTTTCGCTTAGATTTTTTGTTTATTTTGCCACCACTCTAATAAAACAACCGAACGCGCTATGAATATCAAATTTGGTGAAAATATTCAGAGAATGCATAGCCTCTAAATATGAATAAAAACAAAATTGCGAACACAAAATCGAAAGAAAATGAAAAGTTGATGGATGCCACTGGGTTGCGTTTCGGAAAACTTTTTGGCTTAAATAAATATAAAAGTGTCTAGACGGGGACTTATGTCCAGAAATAAAATATTATCTTTATCTTTTTTGGTAAATCTCTTTAATATTTCTTCAATAATTATTCCCTAAAAGTTTTATTTTTAATCGTAATATTTTATTTTAGAAGAAGTAATAAATCAATTAAATTCATTAACAGTTATACGTTTATTTGAAACCCTTTGTTTCTTTAAAACGGCTTAAGAACTGTTTGGTTTTCCGAAGAGTCAAGAAATGTAAGAAATCCAACCGCTAAGCATTTAACTTAACCCCCTTTTCCGCTCACCTGAGCCACCTGTCAACGGCATCGTCAACAGAATTACCATCATCATCAACACTTCCCACCATCTTTTCAGTGCTCCCCAGCAGCCGTTTTAAATCCGACTCTCCTGCTTAATTAATTGGCCTTCTTTTCGAATTTGAAATTAAAACTGCCCAAACCCGTTGCTTTGCCGCACTTTTTGGACCTTTTTCCCTTAGTTTTCCCGCCGATTTCCCCCATTTTGCCAACCACCCCTTTCACGCATTACTGGCTGCTTAATTACAGAAATTCGTGGGGGCTACCTAATCCGGGGTTTCGCGTTGCCCATCTAACCGCCCCAAAGAATTGCATTCGCCGAATGTCTGCAAAATTGTACACCCCTCTGCCTCTCCCTCTCCCTCACCCTCATCTCTCTCTCTCTCTCTTTTTCCTACACCTTTTCCACTGTTTGGTAGGGGCTGTGTTCCGTTTCCGTTGCGTTCCGCGACCGCTCCTTGGATATAATGTCTCAAAGGTTCCACTCAGAATTCCGATTGCGGGCTTCGCGTTCAGTGTGTTTTGAAATTTTAGCTCCGTCTTTGGTTGTATTTAATTCGAATTGGAATCGCGTAACGGTAACTTGAGGACCCCTTGTTGTATGGGTGCTCGTGTGTGTGTGTGAGTGTGTTTCTGAAATGCTCGTTGTGTTTGTAATGTGCTCGTAGTTCTCGTATGTGTGAGTTGTAAACAACGCAGACTCTCAAACGCCAAAAGGGCAATTTTCGGGGGGTTTTCTTCGTTTTTCCAGCATTTCCCACTTGACGTGTTCCCATTTCGCTGCTCGTCGGGGTTTCCCCCTCTTTTTACCTCGATCATATGGCGCGCATTTTGCGTGCTTCCTTCCTTCTTCTTAAGTTCTTGTTTCTTTCTTCTTTCTTCATTCTTCTTTTTTTTTTTGTTTTTTTCTGCCAACTTCCTGTTGCGTCCTTTACGAACTTCAGGGCGTTTATTGTGTGCATAACTGTCGACTTCAACCTTAAATAACAGTATATTGCTGGCAAATAATTTTACGTCGTCGTGTGCAGTCAAATGCAAATTTCATTTTATTTTCTCATTCATGCAAAATGAGTATTTATGACTCTTGGCTTGCATTTGCCCCTTGCAGTTTAGATTTATTCTTCTCGACTTTATTTTTATGTTGGCTCCTAAAGTTGGGTGTGTCACGAATTTTCAAAGGAAGTGGGCGGAAGATCTAAATAATGCTTTAGCGCTATATAAATTTGATTGGATACGGCAGCTGTTTTGCTTTATTAAAGGAAATTCTGTTTAAAAGTTTTCACTACAATTTATAAAACAGTTTTCAAAAAATTTTTTATTACTTATAAATAATTATATTTATCACAAACATCTAATACTGTTGGTAAAATTTATTTGTTGCACGTTAAAATTTTTTGACGGTTGGTACTATTTATTTTAATTTAGATATAACAAATTATTACTCAATATTTTTGAGTTAATTATTTAATAGCCTTCTCATGTTTTTAAACCCGCCACTCAAATTACTCCAACTTTCAACAAGACCCTTAAAAAGTTTATTCGAGCACCGGTTGCCGAAAAAATCCCAACGAAAAAGTGTACGAAATATAACGCACGTAGAGTGTAACGGAAACTCGTGAAACTACAGGATATTACACAAATACAGATAAACAGCAACACCTATTGGCCAAAATGTGGTGAGAGTCGGGTAGAGTTGGCTTAGAGGTTAGCTATAAACGAAACGTAGGAAGTCAGGAAGTTCCAACTGCGGTTGTGGAGGAGATGGAATCTGTAGGCTCGCAGTTTTGGATGGGATGCAAAACATATGATTCGGGGAGAGTCTGAGAGTTTTCCCTTCTCTCCAGTTGAGTTTTGCGTACTCTCTGGTTGAGTTTTCCTTTCTCTCTGTTGGATTTTCCCGTCAACTCTCAGCTCGTGGGTTAATTTTCTCTCTGCGCCCACTCACTCAACAGGAGAACGTGGGCTCTCTGCAGAAACTGTTTTCACATGTTTTTTGGTGGTGGAAAATTCAGTTGGCCTAGACACCATGCTCTCTCATCAGTTGTGAGGACTTTTCCAATATGCTCTGGGCTCATTGTGTCGATTGAGTTGCTCGTGGAAGGACGACAACGACGGCGGTGTCTCCAGACTTTTAGTTTCGGTTCGGTCCGCGCCAAAGGATATACAGAGACACACACCGATATATTTGAACCGCCCACCACCCCTCGAATACATAGGCGCAGTGAAAAATTCTGTACGTTCGCTGTGTCCGTGTGCGTGTCTCGCGTCGCGTGTTTCAATGCGTGTATGTGAAATGGGCACAACGAAAATAATTTAAATAAATTCGGTAGAGTCCATAGAGAAAGTTTATACAAAATTCTTTACTCCCCAAATAGCTGGATATAAGAAATAAATTTAACAAATATAACGCATTCCACTTAAGGAAAAATATATTAAATATATTCATGTGTGTGTGCTAGTGTTCAATGTGCAAAAGTGTTGATGGAAACTTAAACCAAATAAAACGTAGAGCTAACCGGGTTTAAGGCTCAAAACAGATTATTGTAGTAAAAACACAAGCAAGCACTCGATAAAAATCAATAACTGGGATTAGCAGCTTAAGTTTATAACAAAAGCAACGGAAAAGGAAATAGGGGAAAACTCCAAAAACTTAAAGTAAGCGCAAGATTAACAGAATGTTTCTGATAAAAATTATGGGATGTCTGCGTAGAATTGTGTTAAAAACATTTAATTTCTTTACCAAAAAACATGTACCCAGGAAATTGCTTAAAAGTTTAAATCACAATAAAGTGAAAAATAAAAACAGAAAGCTTCTGCTTTTTAAGGATTTGGATACCATTTATTTATGTTATTTTTCAACGTATAATTTTAAACAATTCCACTTGATTTTGGATTTCATAGCTTTAGTGTGTGTGCTCGAGCATTTGAGGTTAACACACCTTAGACATATACATACACGCCACCGCACACACACACACTTGAACATACACCAATACAGAGAGAGAGGAGCCCCAGCCCGAGAAGCCGCTGAGCTCTTTTGCTCCTGTGCGTATGCAGCAGTTCCTTTTTGGCCCGAGCTCCCGCTCTGTTTTTGGGGAGCATGAAAAATCGATCGAATCCTTGTTCCCCTCTCGTCTGGAGCTACAATTATGTTCAGCCCCTCCTCCTCCCGCCCACTCCATCGAAAAAAAGGAAAACAGCGGCGGCCGCTTATCAGCAAAAATACGAACTCGTAGTATTCCACATAGTTTCCCAGTAGGAAAATTGGCAGGACTCTGCAAAGCGAGTTTTGCGTTTTCTGGGGGGTTGGTTTTTCGCCGCGAGAGCATGGAAACTCTCTGGGCTTTGCAGATTTCCACAGAAATTTCTCTGGAAGTTTTGAGAGAAAGGCGACTCTCTTGATTTGCCGCCATGTGGACTGCACTTGTTCCTCGGCAATTTGCTTTCACTGCGAAGTTCTTGCCGGTTTTCTAGTCTCTGCTTTCATGTTTGCTTTGTCGCGAAGGTTTGAAAAAGTAAAGGAGGGTGAATCCAAAAGAAATCGGCTTAACTGCGTCTCAGAAAAAAAGAGAGTTAAGCTCTATCTATGAGATGTACCAGAAAATCTCAGAAAATTATAATATTTATATTAGTTATTACTATTGAAGTGGCGCTCGTAACCTTTTCCTTGGCATTTGAGGTCGCTTTTATTACCGAAACTAACTCAAAACACATTTCCCCGAACGGACCTTTCTCACATATTAAGCGCGAAATTGCCTACACGAAAATAATTCCATTTTATTGAAAAAGATAAAAAACTAATCACTATAATTTGTCAGTCAATAATAACAGCAATAATTTGCAGGCAACAAGCAAACTATAATCTAGCAATTTGCGAGCAATAATGTAATCAGTAAATTGCGTCTACACTCTCGACGTCCAAACAAAAGGCCGGAGACCAAAAGCTCAAAGCGGTCCGAAGATGCTACACAATTCGGAAAAAATTAAATAAGGGGAAAAAATAAATATGAGTATAAATCTACGTGCCAGTCAGGAAAATAATAAAACACCGTCTGGCCGAAAGAGATTTTTTTGAGCAAAGTGTGGCAAGAGCAATCCAAGGAAATGAAGTTACTGTGGGTTGAAAGTTATTATATCTATTCAAACTTAATTTTTTAAATAAGTGATTCATACTTCGAGTTTTGAATTATTTTAAAGAACTCTCCTGAAAGAGTTCAATCCGCTTTTAATAATTTTATATAGCAAGAAAACAAAATGCATCTGAAAAATGATTATGTTTAACATTTAAGCCATCGTGAACCACTGCTTACCACTTTGCCATTGACAGCGTCGATGTTATCGCCTTGGTTCAGGCCAAATCGAAATAAAAAACTGAAGACGAGGCGACGGTGACGTTGACTTTCGACTGTGGGAATTGTGAGAGGAGCAGCAAAAAGCTGCTTGCCACCTTAAAAGCCCCAGACAGCCTCAAAGAGTTCTTGGCCAAGTCAATATAATTGACTTATCTGCGCTGCATTGTTCTTGCCTTTTGGGGCCAAGACGAGTTGCTGTTGTCGTTTTCGTTGTTATTGTTGCTGTTTGCTGTTGCTCTTGCTGTTGGCATCGCTGGCTTGGCCTTTTTGTTGCTATTGGCCAAAGAGAAGAGGTTGGCTCCCTTCTGCGGTTGGGCTTTTGAACATAATGAAGCTCGCTGGCCTCGTATTTGACTTATTGCGGTCGAAACGCGCCGCCGTCGAAGATTCATTGATCGATGGCGACGGCGGCGCGAGAAGCGAAAAAAGCACGTGAAATATTGGACTCGTTGGTAGGTGGATATGGAAAATGCGACGGGGGGCCTGGTCAATAACTATTGAGATTGATTGAGATTGCTTTGCGGTTAAATTGAAAGCAAAGCAAAGCACAAAACAGCAAAGCAGCAACTTTTTCCGCTTATGCAAAGTTGAAATAAAAACAAAGCTAGGTCTGAGATTGGCAACTTCCTCTGGCGTAGAGCATTTTCAATTAATTTTTTTCGGCACTTTGGCCGCCACACAGCATGGCAAAACGTCTGAAATTATTAATTTCAACCTCCATTTCCGTTCGCTGCAATTTTCCACTCAAGCGACAAGTCAAAAAAGCAATTTATTTGAACCCTAACCCAGGAGAACTGGCTTCTCAACGCACGTATTCTCCAGAATTCGACGTACACAATAATTTCCTTGATGCCCAATATTTGCATTCTTTGAGATGCACCAAAGCGAATTGTGAAATGGAAAATTTTAGGCTCTCAAGGAATTTGCATGCCTGACATTCGTGTGTGGCAAATATTTAAACAATTTCGCATTTATAATGTTTTTGTTGAAGCTGCTTGAATTTTAATTTGAGGTTGTCTTTTTGCTTTGAGCAGAGGCTCATGTAAAGGGGGTACACTATTTTAAAGCAAACGATAGAAAATTATAAAAGTTTTGCCAGTTTATTAAACTAGTAAGTATAGTATGAACTTCATTTTTAATCATAAGCGATTATTACTAAAAAACCAGATTACCAACTTATATATTTGTTAATTACCACTTCTGCTTTCTGGTTTTTGACTCACTCAAAAAGTTGCTACCTACGCCCCTGTGCAATAAATCTTGTTCGGTTCGGGTTCTTCTTGCACTTATTTTTGCCGGTCCAGGCCAACGTCTTGTGGTCTCTTTGAAACAGGGCAAAAACGAAATGAAATGAAATCTTTATGAATGAAATTTCTGCTTAATGCATTCGCCTCGGCGGCACATGTGAGCAGCATGTGTGAGGGCCAGATGATGATGCCTGCAATGCGGAGGAAGGGTCAAAACTTGGGCAGTCCAGTTGCCACTTGGAAATATTCCCTTTGCCTCCGACAAATGTGCGGCCTTTGTGTGCATGGCCCTTCTTTAATTGAGCCTCGCTGTCTTTCGTTTGAGTGGCAATGCAGAATATGTCATTTCTAATGGAATTTTCAGGCTGCATAAATATGCAAACAACTTCCGACAGAGGGCGGCGGGAAATTAGTATAAATGCAAGCGAAGGCCTCGCATAAAAGAGTTGCAACCCCGATTTCCCCTCATCATCTGGCTGTCCATATTTTCCGCTGCATTCCGATGCTAATTGAGGACAATTAAAATTTATTAGCTGGCAACAGCAATTAAATGCAGACACCCCGTCAGCAAACGAGAGATTTTATAATGCTTTACGAAAAAACCATTCAAAAACTGAAATGAGGATGAAATATTTTACAAATTTATTTCATACTTTTGATGTGCATTTCAGCTGGTGAAAGGAAAATATTATTACTAGCATTGATATTCATAAAATTGGGTTTGTTTATGTATGTTTAATTATTAATATTAATATTTTTTATTATGTACCCATCTTTATATTGCTAGATTGACGAGCTCCTTTGTTAAGTAGAAATTATATTTTTGCATAAAATCCTTCTAACATAAAAGAGGGATACCAGCATGGTTATTCTTTTCCCATGGTCTTACCCTGCCATGACTAGAACAAATAATGTGTTTGTCGGATATCAAGTATCTCGGCCACTCTGACATCCTTCAGTTCCCTGTGGGCTAAGCTTATAACTCTAATAAGCTTACAACAACTCATATTCTGAATAATTGCATTTTCCCCGGGAATTGTAGGGCAGCCAGTAGGGTCAAAACAACCACCCACTCCCACATCCACTTGACAATCAATCAATCTTAAGTGGAGAGCTGCAGAGCGGAATCCGGAGAGATCTGGTTGTACTGGAGAACATTGAGGGGCATTAGCTGCTAATCTGCATACTGTGTCAAATGGCGATGTCGGCATTGAGTTAGTTTATTTTTTGCCAAGTGGCACTTGCAACAAATTGGAGACGAAGCCACAGCTGCGGGTGGCAAACGGAAAGGAAGCTGATTGAGGGACGGGGTTTTTATTTAACCAAAGGAGCAGCTCCTAAATCTTCTGGCAACTTTTTGCCGCACTGCAGCAGCAGCAGCAGCGGCAACGGCAACAAAAACAATGGAAAATCAATAGGAATTGCAACCCCAAGCAGAAATCATAGTCTGTGATCCGATGTCTCGGGTCGGGTGATTGCCCTCTTTGCCGGTGGCTGCGGTTGTTCTCCGTCCGCTGAATGAGTCCCGCTCGTCCTTCCCCCTCGGATTTTCCCTCCCCTCTCGTAGCCCCTCTCTGCCACCCTGCGGCCATCCACTTCCTCCTTTGACAACAGTTCCGGCATCGTCTGCCAGTGTGTAAGTGTGAGTGCGAGTGTGTGTGTGCTTGTGCGAGAGTGTGTGCCAGGGATATCTTTATGTGTGTGCGCTCGCGCATCGTATCCTTTTTATTGCACAAAAGCAGAGATACACTCGAAAAACAGTGGGGGAAACTAGGCAATTTAATGGTATGATGTATTATACAACCAAGGGATGGTTTTAAGACATAAAAATTTTAAGTCTGATTTTATTTTACCACGTAGAAATAACTTTTCTATAATACCTATATTTATATACTTTTATTCTTTTCTGGGCTTCTAATAATATTAAGTTGCCTAAATGGGTAAAAGTAAATTTGTTAAGTTTGCGAGTATAGAAGAATTTATTTAATCAATACTGATGGCGATCCCTGACAAATTAACATCTTAAAATATTTTTTTCTGAGTGCATGAGCGGAAT